CCAAAATAAGCCCTCGTTAAGTGAAACCCCGCCCTCCACCATTGTGCAGCAACCAGAAAAAGATGGCATGGCTGTATTTTAATAAATGTAGATTGTTGTACATAAAAAATAAATAAATAAACATCCCATGAAAATAAGCCCTAATGTGTTTTTTGGAGCAAAAATTAATATAAGACCCTTTTTTTATTTTCGGGGAAACACGATATAAATTAGAGGTGACTTGAAGACATCTAAGAACAGTGTTTTGGCTTGGTGCCAAATAAATTGTAAGGTACTGTACTCAGAAAATTTGACAGTCATGGTTAGAGATGGGCATGAAATAAAAAAAACAAAACCAGAAAGTTTGTTTAAAAGCACTGGTTAGTTGGTTTGGGTTCATCAAAACAGTGGGAAGGGGCAGCTGCGTGGGTGCAAATGGGAGATCCAGCACTGCGTCGCACCGGATCAGGGCATCAAGGTTCCGGGTTGCCCATTTGCAGCAAAGGAGGAGGTGGCGGCAGGATCATGTAGGGAGGCAACGGGCACAGTGGGAACGTCACGGGGCAGGCGGGGGGGGTTAGTTTCCCCCCCTGCCCAGGCACGAGCTTCTTTTAAAAAACAAACCAGCTTATGGGTTGTTGTTGTTTTAAGCTCAGATGGTTTGTGGATAGCCACGTTTTTTGTGGTTTGTACCCATCTCTAGTCCTGGTTCCAGGTGACAGAACCTTTCTTTAAGGCAATACTGGCTGCCACACACATAAAAGAGATGCATAGAAGAACTACTGAGACAAGACACTCCTCCAAGTCTCTTTATGAACAAAAATGACTGCCACCAACTCCCATTTCTCTGGAATTTGAAAGAAGTTTATTACGCACAGGGCCTACTTTCATTCTATTTCCAAATGCCTAGAACCAACCTGACTGCAACAAATCACACCCGATCTTGTAACTTACAGCAGGATTGTGGGAGACCATCTAGCAATACGTAAGAAAATGCCTGTTGGATCAAACCATGGTCCTGCAGTGGTCAACCAAATATTTACAGGAAGTCCAGAGGCACGACATGAGTACAACAACAAACAAACACTGTAGACTCACTGTTTAGCTCACTGTTCAATGGCAGGGCACATGATTTACATACAGGAATGCTCAGTTCAGTCCCTGGCATCTACAGAAATGGCTGGAAGACAATCTTGCCTGAAACCCCCAGCAGCTGGAGGTTAATCTTACTGAGCTACTGTACAAGGATCAATATTCTGATTCAATATAAGGAACAATCCTATACTCTAAGGCTTCTATTTTTTTTTAAAAAAAAACCTGTTTCATTGTAGGCAACAACTGTGTATGCACGCACACACGCAAAATCATGGCAAACATAAAAAGCAACATGCAAACATCCCTCCCAGGCCTTTCTTGCATCCTTCCAGATTCCAAAGTTACTTTTCTGGACTATGCTTTCCAGAATTCCAAAGTCAGCATGCAGGCAACTTAAATTTGGGAGTTGTTGTCCAGAAAGTAACTTTTCTCTTATTTGCCTAAGAGATCAGAATTGGCTGGTGTTGCATTTGAGGGAAAAAGAAGAATATCTAACAGAGTGACAGCTACTCCCCATCCACTGTGAGTCTATACTCCTGAACATATTGCCTCTAAGGCTATTTAGAAAGGTTTCCCACTTCTGACCTACAACATAGTGGAAAAATGAGAAGCCGCTCATAGAATTCAACAACAAAAAACACCATCAAATACGGAGGAGATTGGGAGTCCCGCCTCCATCTGCCAGGGCCTGGTGGCTCAGAGGTCCTCCTGTAAAAATTCCACAAGTTCCAGCCTGGTTTGTCTGCACACTCCTATTAAAGTTATAGGCTTAGCCCCTACTGCCTCTTCCCCCATGTTCCAAGAGGGTCAAGTTTCCAGCACTAACCTCCTGGGCAAAGTTAGTCCAGCTGAGAACCCAGTTGACTTCACTGGGGGCCCTGAAAGTCAAGGTCCAGAGAAGTAGGTGGAAAGTATGAGTCCCAAACCCAGTCCTTTTAGGGAGGGCAGATAGCGGGGACCGGGCTCTTGAGGGCGCTACCTCTCCCAGAGCCTCTTTTGCAGCACCTGCTGCCACTTGCAGGTTGGAGTTGGCTCCTATTGGGTGGTCAGGACACCAAGGCAGTGGTGGCACTAGGTCAGCCGGGGGCTGCACTGCCAGAGGCTCAGGTAACCAGACCCCCAACCTCTTCCATGGTCAAACAGGCTGGCTGACAGGAGGTGGCTCCTCTTGTCCTTGATCCCTGTTCATACCTCTGCAGCGGCATGGAAGATGGGATCCCAGGGCTGGACTGCCTCTTCCCCCATGTGGCACATTAAACACTACCCTATTTTAATGTGAGCTTTCATGAACAAGTCCACTTCCTCGGTCTTTGTCTTCCTTTTTTTAACCTTGTTTTTGCCTGATATGCTAGCACAGACTAAGACAGCTACCTCTTCTAAAACTCCTCTGTAGATTTCATTGATTCAAATGGGTCTACTTTCACAATAACTTGCTGTGTTGAAGTACCATATTTTTCAGTGTATAAGACTATACTTTTGTCTAAAATCTTTAGACTAAAAATTGAGGGTTGTCTTATACACAGATGTAAGCTGAGGAGAGAACAAAAACAAGTGAAGGGGAAAACAGGGATCAAAGCGATCCTGCAGCGCTTAGATCCCTTTCAACCTACACTTGCTAAATTATAGGCTTAGATCCCTTTCAACCTACACTTGCTAAGTTATAGGCTTAGATGCCTTTCAACCTACACTTGATAATTTTTGGTTAGAAAAGTGGGGGTGTCTTATACATGGGGGCATCTTATTATACCCAGAACAATACAGTAAGTCACACTCTAATGCAATTTACCACAATATGGAGCAGGATTTTGGCCACTAGGTAGGCAATCTAAACATTTTCCAGATAACTATAAGGACTAGAAACTTGCTAGCAAAGGAAACTTTTGTAAGCAATGAACGGTCTTGTGAAATTCAAAGCACAGTTTTAGCCCTGCAGATTTCTGATGTCTCTCCATACTGAACAGTGTTCAAACACTGTTGCAGCTCTCTGCAGTCCACTGTTAAATCCTCTCAGAATCTTCTGCTCATTTATTTTGATAAAACAAAGCTTTCAACTTATAAAGACCAACCCAACTGAGAAATTTACAGTTGAATTTAAATATTTATACAGTTCTCTTCTGGAATTAAATGAGAACAAAACGGGAATGCTTGATGTTCATTTTTAAAAGATCAAAGGCAAATAATATAACTTAGTATCACTTCAGGCAGGCTTTAAATTAGCAGACACTGCTGCCAACTGGATCACAGTAATCCTCCATGATGATTATTCTTTGGGATTAGCAGTGTGCAGTTAGCATTACTAATTAACCCCCAAGACCTGCTGGAAGGAAAAAGACAGAAAGACACATTCTTAGGGCAGTCCTGCTGCATGACGAAGGTGAGTCAGCAAACATCATTTCTTTCAACCATACGCTTTGGACTGCAAGTGCTATGGTGTTTGTACATAAAATGGCAACACACACATACACAAAATGGAAACCCTAGCCAGCTTGGGAGCAGTCCAGCAGTAAGTACAATAAAAAAGGGGGGGAGAGTTCTAAAGGGAAAATTCCATCCAATTAGCCCAAGAAAGACCGGATGTGCTTGGCAGTCACCGAGTTTAAATTGACTGTTGACGTTAGATGGGTGGATGGAATGGAAAACTTTGGAAAAGAGGGAAGCTGGAATGGCATACCCTAAGACAGGACATGGCAGGCTGGCATCCAGACTAGGATCACACTATGTTGTACCATCCCACCAATATCAATATATCCAGCCAAAGGGTCTCATGTTTTCTTGAAAAATCCAGCTTCCAATTGCAACTGGAGTGAGGATACAATCCAGGATACAGGGCTTCAAGCCATCTGTTACTCTACTCCCACTGTAGAGATTCCACAGGGATTTGAAGGAAGGCACCAAACACACAGGAAAAGGTACAAAAAAAGACATTACAAGCCTGTTACATTTATGACCCACTAACTGCTGCGCTCCCTCTCTCTATTTTTAAAAACATTTATTGAGAGTGGCCAGATCACCTATGAAACTAATTAAGCTTAAACTGCAGGGCTTCTAATCCCAGAGGGACTCCAGAAGTGACTTCAGTCCACATGTTAAAACATTATGATGATTCGTCTTGGAACAACCCCGCTGAAGAAGGCAACAGTGGTCACCCAGACCTTATTGCTTGTTGCAAAGGGGCCTCCATCACCGTTCAAGCTTCAGAGCACAAAAATGTAGGTCTGCCCCTGCCAGATACAGATACAGTTACATTTTCATACTATTACTTCAAAATACATTATTCTCTTCTACCAAAAAAAGGGCACCTGTACCCAAGTAAACATGTAGCAGCACAGCAACAGGAGCAAATAGTGATCATAATGGCACAATGATTTAAATCCCTGTAGTCAACTGCCGAATTGGAAAGGCATTGGATATATTTCAGCTCTCAGTCTGGTCAACAGCCGCCATAAGTATCGCCACAAAGATAAAACTCTTTAAGAGTATTGCTATACGTACTGCAATATATTTTTGTGAACATGGAAATGCACAACCAAGACGACTGAATGATTCAATGTTTTCCAACGTTGCCTTAGAAAAATCCTTTGCATTTCATATTATAACCATATCAGTAAAAAAGTAATAAGAAATATCAGTAAATAAGTAAATAAGAAATACTACAAAGATCACACTCATAACATCTATCGACAACCATGAATGAATGTTGAATGCAATTTGTCGGACACATCTTATGCATGCCCAAAGATTGGCACGTGAAAAATGCACTACAGCAGATACCTCCTTGAGGAAAGAGAAAACGAGGCCGGCCTTGGAAAACTTGGTTTCAAACACTCCAAGAAAACCACTGCGATTTTAGACTGAACCATCTGAGATGTTTGGAGAAGACTTGCTCCCAGTGCAGTCTCTTGCAAACCATAAGGAAAAATACCCACCTCCAGAACCAGCCAGAGTTGATCTCCATCCTTCACATCTTTTTTGTAATATAATCCATAGAACTTGACTACATTTGGATGATCAGAAAGAGCCATCAAAATGTTGTATTCAGCTTCTATTTCTTCATCAATATCCTAGGGTCACATAATAATAATAATAATATTTATTTATTTATTATTATTTATTTTATTTATTGTATTTATACCCCGCCTATCTAGTCATTTCGACCACTCTAGGCTGCTTACAACATAAAGGATAACAAGTTCAAGAAAAATTTATAACAATTAATTAAATGTTTCTGCAAGATGGAAAATTTAAGGAAAAAACAAACGACCGCCAGAAGATGCTCACATAATAATAACAATAACAATAACAATAACAATAATAATAATGAGGAGGAGGAGGAGGATGAAAGTTAAAAATGAAAGGCTTATTAAAAATAGATTTCATTCTTCTCTGTTGTGGATATTTTTCATTGGCTACTTCTTTTAAAAAATGGCCAAATTTAAACAGATGAGATCACAGCACTAGGAATGAAAATAACTGGTGTTGAATAAAATGTCCTGCATGATACAGATTTTGAAAAGTAATGTAACATTTGTAGTCCCCTGAGATAATAAAGTATACCTTGGAAGAGGCCCTTCTTTCAATCTTACTACTTCCGGAAGCACATCTGATGGGAATGTGAAACAGTATTCTCAGTGGCTGATCCCAGAATTGACAGAGCCCTACTGACAGAGTCCATGTTACCTTCATCTCTGTGGCCCTCAATCCTGATGAGGAAGTATATTTTTATTTCACATTTAAGCTGACATGTTTGCTGGAGTACTTTCTACACAGCTGGTTATTTCTTTTTATGGGATATTCTTAAATTGATTTACCTTTATGCTTTTAATTATGAGTATACTGTGTTTCATTTTACTTAAGCACAATTTGCAGTGGAAAAACAGGATATAAACACTGTGCTTGTAAACGGAATCCGTAAGTACTTAATTAAAGAAAAAAACAAAGAAAAAAGGCTTCTGGCAGGAAGTGTTCTTGGAAGATCTGAGACGTCCTGCCTCAACTTTTAGAAGCCTGGATGGAAGTTTTTAATTTTCTTTTTACCCGAGATGTTGGCAAGTCCTTGGGCTCCAAGTCTCAAGTCCAAGTCTTTGGCATGAAATCCCAAGTACCAAGCTCAAGTCCTTAATCCCAAAAAAAACCAGAGGGGTGTGTGGGTTCTGAATGGCAAGTTGAGTCCAAGTCATTGAAAAATAAAACCCCAAATCAAGTCTGAGTCAAGTTACCAGTGCAATTTAATTAAAACTGGACAGCAAGAATCATGACTTGAGTCCACACTCCTGCTTTTTACATCCCTGCTTTTTTTTTACTTATTCTTACCTATGCATGTAAGAATTCCAACCTACAAAACAGAACTTCATTTTACCTCTGAAGTTAAGTGTTAATAGTTTTAATCTACTATTGTGAAACATAGAAAAATCACTTTTCTGGCCTAGAACTCTAACAAGCCAACCCCAGCTCTATAAATTTCCCAAGCTCTAACTATTCCATAATACAGTCAGATGCAAAAAGGGGCTCCTTAATTTGTCTCATTCACATGTTCCCAGCTTTATTATAAACTTATCACTATTAATTTACAAAAAGCAAAACACAAGGAATCAGTCAGTGCTTCAGCAGTAACAACATGTATTCACAGTACTAATTATTCAAACTTGGATTAGTTTTTTCATTTCCCCTCTCCCAAATCTCTTTAGTTCAGCTGAAGAAAAATGGAAATTTTCAAGACCATTTTTTTAGTTTATTTCAATGGCTCCCTCTGCAGCCACTCAGAATTCCTTCAGTTTAAACAGGATGAAGTAGTTTAATGTATGCAAATAGTTGAAAATCCACACAAAAGGACATTATGGTGATTTTTGTTGTTGTTTTTAGTAGTTGTGTCCAACTCTTTGTGACCCCATGGACCAGAGCATGCCAGGCCCTCCTGTCTTCCACTGCCTCCCGGAATTTGGTCAAATTCATGTTAGTAGCTTCGATGACACTGTCCAACCATCTCCTCCTCTGTTGTCCCCTTCTCCTCTTGCCTTCACACTTTCCCAACATCAGGGTCTTTTCCAGGGAGTTATATTGAATGTAGCACCTTATCAGCATCATCTTTTTAAAGATTTTAAATAGTTCAACTGGAATGCCATCACCTCGACTGGCCTTGTTGTTAGCCATGATTTCTAAGGCCCACTTGACTTCACTTTCCAGGATGTCTGGCTCCAGGTCAGCAACCACACTATCTGGGTTGTCTGGGACATCCAGATCTTTCTGGTCTAATTTCTCTGTGTATTCTTGCCACCTCTTCTTGAGATCTTCTGCTTCTGTAAGGTCCCTAACATTTTTGTCCTTTATCATGTCCATCTTTGCACAAAATGTTCCTTTAATAGCTCCAATTTTCCTGAACAGATCCCTGGCTTTTCCTTTTCTATTATTTTCCTCTATATCTTTGCACTGCTCATTAAAGACGGCCCTCTTGTCTCTCCTTGCTATTCTTTGGAAGTCTGCATTCCATTTTCTGTAACTTTCTTTCTCCGTTGCATTTTGTTTCCCTTCCCTTCTTTGCTATTTGTAAGGCCTCATTGGACAGCCACGTTGTTTTCTTGCATTTCCTTTTCTTTGGGATGGTTTTTGTTGCTGTGTCTTGTACAATGTTACAAGCCTCCATCCAAAGTTCTTCAGGCACTCTGTCCACCAAATCTAGTTCCTTAAATCTGTTCTTCCCTTCCACTGTGTATTCGTAAGGGATATGGTTTAGATTATACCTGACTAGCCCAGTGTAAGTCTTCATAGAATTGGTCAATTTCAGCCTCTTCAATATTGGTGGTTGGTGCATTGTTATGATTATTGTGATGTTGAAAGGTCTGCCTTGGATTCGTATTGAAATCATTCTATCATTTTTGAGATTGTATCCCAGTACACCTTTTCCCACTCTTTTGTTGACTATCAGGGTTACTCTTTTTTTTTTAATGGGATTCTTGCCCACAACAGTTGATATAATAGTTTGAATTGAATTCACCCATTCCCCTCCATTTTGGTTCACTGACGCCCAGGATGTCAATGTTTATTCTTGCCATCTCCTGTTTGACCACATCCAGCTCACCCAGGTTCATTGATCTTACATTCCAGGTTCCTATGCAGTATTTTTCTTTGCAGCATTTTTTTTTTAATGGGATTCTTGCCCACAACAGTTGATATAATAGTTTGAATTGAATTCACCCATTCCCCTCCATTTTGGTTCACTGACGCCCAGGATGTCAATGTTTATTCTTGCCATCTCCTGTTTGACCACATCCAGCTCACCCAGGTTCATTGATCTTACATTCCAGGTTCCTATGCAGTATTTTTCTTTGCAGCATCAGACTTTCCTTTCACTTCCAGACGCGTCGGCAGCTGAGCATCTTTCGGCTTTGGCCCAACCACTTCATTAGCTCTGGAGCTACTTGTACTTGTCCTCCACTCTTCCTCAGTAGCATGTTGGATGCCTTCCGACCTGAGGGTCCCATCTTCCAGCGTCATATCTTTTAGCCTTTTGTTTCTGATCATGGGGCGTTCTTGGCAAAGATACTGGAGTGGCTTGCCATTTCCTACTCCAGGTGGATTGCGTTTAGTCGGAACTCTCCACTATGTCCTGTCTGTCTTCGGCATCCCTGCACAGCATAGCCCATATCTTCTCTGAATGACTCAAGCCCCTTCCCCATGACAAGGCAGCAATCCATGAAGGGGTTCTGGTGATTACTAATGCAAAAGTTATAGTGTTGTTGGCTATTTGATGTCTCCTTTCTCAATTGACTGAGGGATCTCAAGGGCTCAGATTTCTATGAATATTTAGAATTTATGCATGCCTTTTGAAAATAAAGGAAGAATGGAGCAGCTGGTAAGGATAACAAAAACATTTTGAAAGCTATTTTATTTATTCCATTTATATCCCACTTTTCTTCCAGTGCCTCAAAGCCTCTTTTACTTTTGCAACAGACAGTGAAGTAGGTCAGGCTGAGAGATAAAGAGATTTAACTGAAGGTCAGCAATGACCTTTAAAGGCTCTGTATGGACTGGCGCATGGACTTTTCAAGTCCCTGTCCAGCACTCTGATCATTGTACCACACTACCTCTAAACAGAAAAACAAGGCATTCACAATGCTGCTGCATTCTATCTCGTGAAATTCTGTCCTTTCACATTAATCCTGCAAGCACCTCAAATAGTTGTACCCAAGTATGAAAACCAGTATGAAAATTACAGCTTGATTCACACAGAAGTTCTCATTTATTTATTTTTTCAATTTAAATATTTTATAAGTGAACTCTGGCCCTGACCCCACTGGAACAGGTAATGTGGTGCTCTTCATATGTTTGAGAGACAAAAGGGATAGATAAAAGTTTTTCCCAAGATCTTATGCCTGGAGCTCCTGTAAGAGACTCAGCTTGTTTGATTAATTTGCTTTTCTTTTGTGAGTTACCATTACAGAGCTAAGCATACTTTTTGTTTGCAGGTGTGACTGCTCAGTCACAAGGGTCTGCAGAATCAATCTCTGAGCGAGAAACTTTATCACCTTTTGATTACAAAAAGCAGTTTCTCTCCTACAAGGCCCATCATCCTCAAACGTTTATCAGATGGCCTGAAGTTGCAACCCAAAACATCTGAAGAATACCCATGTTATCACCGGGTTCCTGATAAGGACATTGGTGGGAATTGCATGAGCTCACAGTGGGACTCATCAGCTTTTAAGAATCCATGGAGAGATGTCCTCAGAGGACAGGACTAGTATCAACGACGCTTCTGTTTACTCCAGCCAAGGCCATGTGATAAACACTGGAAGCTCTTCCCTATTCCATACTGGTTGAAATCCTGTTGAGTAAACTGCATCTGCAAAAGGGAGCTGACACCACTGGCAGGGGGAAACTGCAGATAATTATTGCATTTCCACTTCAGTCTAGGGTGTCTTCCAACTCTCCCACAATCAGCCTCTCTGCGGGCAAATTAAGTGAGCTCTGAGATCACAGACTGGACTCAATAATTACCAGTAATTGGACACTGACATTTATGCTACGCCAGAAAGGAAAATTTCAGGTAATTAAAGAGTTCCTATTTCAGTCTGGACCACCCGCTGTGAGACTGGTTGTATGTTAATTGTAGGTAAAACGGATAAGCCCTTGGACCAAAGCATGAACTCTTCTGTGACCTGCAATCACCTTCTGCCAGTGACATCATTCTTATGCAGGTGTAATTTACTCGACAGGATTTTGGAAAGTATGTTTCTGTGATGGCTATGATGCTGGATACCAGCCCTCTGTTTGCTGCAAGCAACCTTTGCTCTTTCTGTAAGACTTTCTTGTCATCTTTCCTTTCCTTCTACTGCCTTTTGTTTTACTCACCTTCTTCTACAAGACAACAATATTGAGTACACATATTTCTGTGGACAGAGAATTTCCCTCCTGCAGAAAAGGATGGGAAGCTCTTGTACAGCTGAGAATCTAATGATATTTGATTTGCTCTTCTGGGACAGAGACTGTTTAAGTTATTTTTGAGGTCTTTCGCTCCCAGAATTCCTAAGTCAGCATGGTCAGTTATTGGGGATTATGGGAATGTTAATGCAAAACATCTCGAAAGCTCTACAATGATTGCCCCATCAGTTTTGTGGATGGGTAGAAGAAGGAGTCATATGGATTAAACCCACAATATTGTTTTATTTTGTGTAGATTAAAAGGACCAAATAGCTGTCAGTTTCTATACTGGCTGAGATATTCTGATCATTGTGAGTACACAAAACTTTTCCAAATTTTTCCAATAAGAATAATCTCCCCCCCCTTTTCTAACATTTAAAGCGTTCAGAGAAACCTAGGTTAGATCTAAAAAGATTTTTAAACGCAACAGAGATGAGAGAAAAGCTCTTTCTACATAACGAGAATGCAAAGATATCCTAATGCATTTAAATTCATTTAATTAAGATAATAATCTCAGGGGCTGTGAATCAGCAACTCTTTTGATAAGAAATTCAAATGGATGAGGAAACAGAACAATTCTTTAGTAATAAGATAAAGCTGTTGCAGCTGGGTAAAAATCACAATTTTTTTTAGAGCAGTGAGTTTGTAACATAAATCAGGTATTCCGAAGTGAACCTTTGATGATACTTCAAGCTTCTGATTGTCCTACCATTACAGAAGCATGGATATTACAGCAAGCATCAAGTAGGTAACACTATTGCATTAAATGATGTTGAAAGTACAAACCCATGCAAACGTATCCAGAACCTCACTGTTTTCAGATAAAGAGTTGATAGCGAGCTAAGTAAGGATGCATCACTGAACTTGTTTACCAGGCAGTTAAAATTTTTTTTACTTAACACAGTGATGGGAAATCTGGCTCTTCCAGGTTCTGTTTGCAGTGGCTGAGCTAAGTAAGGATGCAACACTGAACTTGTTTACTAGGCAGTTAAAAATGTTTTTTTACTTAACACAGTGATGGGAAACCTGGCTCTTCCAGGTTCTGTTTGCAGTGGCCAATGGTGAGGGCTGGTGGAAGCTCCCAATAAAATCTGGAAAGCCACATATTCCTCACGCTTAGCTTGATATCGCAATCACGACAGACTCTTCCATTTATTAACTCACAAAGAACCACTTTCACGACCCAAGCATGAGCATTCAAGTAGTGGGAGAAGTAAAACAGAGGGAAGACAATTCCATTGGCTTGTCCTAACAAACAGTAACCTTTTTTAAAAGCAGGTATTTCCTTTTTTTCAGAGAAGTCCAGCAAGCAAAACATGTGGATATAAAGAGGTGGGACTGGATTCTCTATGCTTCAATTGATGCTCATGTGCTTAATGGGAACAGAAAATGACCCCCCTGAGTTTGCCAGTGACCTGTCTTCTGATGATTCCAAGGCACAATATCTGTCCTGCACATGATCCTGACTCATCGAAATCAGCACACTCAAACTTGGTGACTCCACCTGGACAACTGTAATTATCCCTTCAACTATGCTGTCTAGGGATGGTTTTTAAATTGTTTTTAGAGCTATAAATCCCATAGTTTTCCATTCTGGGAGTTCCACCTGACTTACACCTTACAGACATCTAAATGTGGCTCACCTGGGAGAAACAGCCTAAATTTGAAGGCTCTGAGGGTTAGCTAGGCCTGGTTCCACCTAGCTTCCTGTTTAGAAAGAAGATTCCCAGCTTGCACCTGGGTGGAAACAGGAAACTTGGGTGAAATTAGGCCTAACTATGCCTCAAAACCTTATAATTGTGGCCTCTTCTCTCATCACATTTAGATGTCTGTAAAGTGTGTGTAAGGGTGTGACTACATGGTGAGGGAAATGTGAATTAATTTGCATTCTCTTTCCACCTAGCTTCCTGTTTAGAAAGAAGATTCCCAGCTTGCACCTGGGTGGAAACAGGAAACTTGGGTGAAATTAGGCCTAACTATGCCTCAAAACCTTATAATTGTGGCCTCTTCTCTCATCACATTTAGATGTCTGTAAAGTGTGTGTAAGGGTGTGACTACATGGTGAGGGAAATGTGAATTAATTTGCATTCTCTTGCTATGAAAAATGTGGGAAATGTGAATTAATTTGCATTCTCTTGCTATGAAATCACACTGGGGCATTCAATTCTCTTCAGTACAAGTGGCCACACAGGCAGAGGACAAAACTCTGCAGTTCTATTTGATGCAACTGTCAGTGGTACAATTCAAAGGAAGTGCCTTAAGAATGCTTTCCTTCCTCAGTCACTCAATTCCTCATCTTATCTTGTCAGCTGGTAGAACTTGTTAAGCTGCAAATAAACAAACAAACAGGAGTTCTGTTCCCAGAGAAGCTGTTAAAAAGAAGTGTCTTGCAAAAGAGGCTTTGTGGAGAGAAGTCAATATTGGTGCTTTTGTGTGTGCGTATGCACACATTCTTTCTTTTCATCCTCTCTTGTGATGATGAGACAAGGGGAATGTGCTTGGTCTTTCCTTTCTACATCACTTCAAAGTGATCACAAGCTTTGAACTGAAGCAAAAGGATGTGACTTGTAAAAAGTAGAAAGGTGGGTAGAAAAAACTACTTACTGGGACTGATTCACATCTTCCACTGTATCATGCGATCTACAGGAAAACATACAAATCAGCCTGCCTCAAACTCATAGTGTTTCCTGCATTTTTTTTCCTGTGTAGTCAGGCTTTAAGTTAGGTATAACTCCCAGAATAGGAAATTCTGGGATAAGGAATCTGAAATTCCCATCCCTAATGCTGATATGGGCAAAGACTGAACATTCAAACAAGAAAGTGGGAGATATAATTGCTGGATAGTATGGTGGTTTAGGTATCTGGAAAGGGTCCCTTTCTGCTCTGTCGTTCTAAGATTATTACACTCCATGGCACATGTCTTGCAAAACTATTATTGTAGCATGGATATAATTTCCCATTTCATTTCAGAGCCTGTTCATATCAGATCATAACTAGAAATCTATAAAGACCATCGCTTTTGACTTAGGAAGTCTCTTACATGAACTGGATCCAGGATTTTGACTGCAGCTTTGCTCCCATTTTTCTTGTTGAACACCTTAAATACTTTTCCATATGTTCCTTTGCCAATTGTCTCTACGATTTCCCAGGTATCCGAGGGATCAGGAAAGCTTTCGAAAGTTGTTTTGCCAGTTAAAGGCAGCATCTCAAATCACAAATTCTGAAAATAAAAAATAAAAATTTCCAACAATGGTTAACAAACATGCATCCCGATTGCTGATGAAACTCAACACCCAAGTGCATGCAGCCAGAGCGTTTGTGCATGTTAATAAGAACAACTGAGTGATGCAATGATTTGAAAAATGGGTTAAGGCAACCTACAACAATCAGGCATTCTCCAGATGTGTTGTATCTCCTACAGTATATCTACTGTTAGCAGCTTGTCTGGTAAGGCACAGGTGACAAGGAATTCCATATAGTCAAGTGGAATACATCTCTTCCTGTCCGTGCTGGCTATCAGAGTAGATATGATTTAAATCAAATTGATTTAAATAACAATTAAATCATTGTTTAAATTTTTAAAGTCAGATTTCTGATGATTTAAATGAAAAAAATTCAACATTTAAATCATGATTTAACTCAATTTGATTTTTCGATTTAAATAATAATTAAATCATTGTTTAAATTTTTAAAATCAGATTTCTGATTATTTAAATGAAAAAAATTCAACATTTATGGTAAATCATGATTTAACTCAATTTGATTTTTTTAAAAATAATTGATTTTTGTTCGTCATGCCTATGGAGGAAGTTCACTCCACCTTAATTGATTTTTGTTCATCATGCCTATGGAGGAAGTTCACTCCACCTCAGATGAAGATGATGATGGAATCCTCCACTCATTCCATAGGCAGTTGGAATGCCAGTTTAATGTCGTGAACCCCATAGCACAGTGGTAAAACTGCAATACTGCAGTCAAGCCTTTGCTGATGAAGATGATGATGGAATCCTCCACTCATTCCATAGGCAGTTGGAATGCCAGTTTAATATAGTGAACCCCATAGCACAGTGATAAAACTGCAATACTGCAATCAAGCCTGAGATTGATCCCAATGGATACAGGCAACTGGCTCAAGGCTGACTAAGCCTCCAATCCTTCTAAAATCAGTAAAGTGAGTACCCAGCCCATGGGGCAGGGAGTGGGAACGCAATGGGTAGCATGCACAACTAATTTGTAAATCGCCCAGAATAGTGAACCCCATAGCACAGTGATAAAACTGCAATACTGCAATCAAGCCTGAGATTGATCCCAATGGATACAGGCAACTGGCTCAAGGCTGACTAAGCCTCCAATCCTTCTAAAATCAGTAAAGTGAGTACCCAGCCCATGGGGCAGGGAGTGGGAACGCAATGGGTAGCATGCACAACTAATTTGTAAATCGCCCAGAGAGTGCTCTAGCACTATGGGATGGTATATAAGTCCAACAATAAAATAAATTAAATTACAATATTATTTTTAATTAAACTTTCTTCCACACTGACAACGAGATAACATCCTCCATTGTATCTGAAGCCAACAGGTTAGCCTAAGGCTCACAGGTCAAGCCATGGCACCATACAGCTCCCTCTAAGGTCTTGCTACCACATCTTAGCATCTGCTGCTTGAGGCAATCACTCTGCTCCCCTTAATGTTAGGTTTGCCCTGCAAGTTATCAAAATAAGAAATAAAAAGGCAGGATACTGATTTTAGTTGGCTTATTTCCAATATAGAAACCTTGCTGACATGAACAGACCCTTTGGCATAGGAAAGGATCCAGACCCCATTTGGCAAGTATATACACTGTCTGCATGTGTGAACAGCAACTCAGACATTAGTAGTCAGTTGAATGAAAACCCTATTATCATTTCATCATAGCAGCACTCAATTAAAATCAAATGTGGCAAGAGTACTTTTTTGACCAGTAGATCCATAACTAGCATTTGTCAAGCGCAAGCTAGATTCCAAAGTTTAAGCACAATTTAATTTTCCTATTACACACCAATATTTACAATGTCATGAAAATCCATCCAGTGCTGCGTTTGTTCAAGTTCATCTGTCAGAATGGTCAGCCATAACCCAAGAATCACTTTTTTTTAATCTGTTGCCAATAACCAAAATAGAAATTAAGATAGTATACCCAATAAAAGGGTCAGGGAAAGACCCCAAATTAAATAATTGTACACATCTCGCTGTACAAGCTCATTAAGAGATTGCTGAGAAAACTCTCTGGAGGGTGTCTAAAACTGGACAGATTAATATATGTGTACTAAACTTATTCAAGGTAACATCAAGGTGGTCAATTATTTCTGCCCATGTTAAAATACTGGTTTGAGATGATGGCAGTTACAGTTTGGCACAGCTGGAGAGTTTGGAGAAACCTGTTGTAATGTATTAGGAGGGAATCATCTGTTGACCCTGTGGTGATTTGGGGATACAACCTCCACCAGTACTAGCCAACACTGGCCAGTGGCAAGGTCTGATGGGAGCTGCAAATTTACAAACATCTGGAAAACCACAGTTGCCCACTCAAGGCACAGAGATATGTGAGGTGTAGCTGCTGAAAAGACAGACATGGTTACTTGGACAAGTATGTAGATGACATCAACAGGAGTTTCCCAGAGAGACATCACTTCTCCAAGACACACCAACCTTGACAGAGCCATTAGGTGGAGTGAGGTGGACACCTTCCAGCTGGACAGTGGTGGGGCTGTGCCATACAATCCTCTCTAAACACCTTATGAGGACCTCCTATCTTCAAGTATGGTGGAGAGTACTGTCCCATTATTAGTGCTAAAAAGTTCAGTTGCAAGTCTACTCAGTGTCTGTACAAGAATGGAAGGAGGAGCATTATCTAGCTTTCTGCCACAAGCAGCAAAATGTCTGAGATGGCTGGAGCCATGCACATACGTAAGAGAAGAGGGGGAACTGCTTGGGTAATTTGCCCTTATTTCCTGTATAGTCATAACAGACTACATGACCATATTGTAAGAACTGTAGTCCAAAATAGTTAACTTCTCCACATCCTGATTAATCATATTCTATTGTTTGCATAGTACCCTCCATGTATCCATAGCAGTTTACATCTCACAGCAAAACCCCTATTAATCATATTCTATTGTTTGTATAGTACCCTCCATGTATCCATAGTTTACATCTCATAGTACCCTCCATGTATCCATAGGGGGAGTTGCTATAGTCTATAGGAGTTCTCACCCAAAAAATTATTTTATGAAAAGTGGCCTCAATACCTAAATAACATTGCTTGAAACCTGGTCTTAAACTCTGTCATAGAAGAAAAGCTCATATATTCTCCTCCAAGTTGTTTGGAAGAGCATGCTTTCCATGTGGTTTTACTCTGCTGATAAAACAAGCAACATGTATTTCCACAAGTACCCAAGCAAAAGGATAGGACACAACCTATTAAATAAGCAAGATATTCTACGCAACACACTTTTGCGGAAAACAACAAAGCAATAAAACATATAATGTAAAATTTTAACATGATTCCCTCTTCCTAATAAAGGGGTTTGGAAATAAACACACTGGACATACAGTACAAGTAATAAATCCATGGTGGTGGCAGCCAGTTACAACTAGTGGATGATTTAAGATGTTAAGCAAAAGCTGGCTGTTAAAATAAGTCATAGGATGCTCTATACTGTAGAGCTGATTGAAAGGTCTTTGCTGCCACAAAACCACATGATGGAAGAAACAGATCAGTGTTAAAAGTTTAGCCTGTTTCCTTTTGGTTTGCTCGAAGGAAATAAGAGAACGGTCTTGTAAAGATATCCTTTAAATTGATCCTTCAGCCAGAACGCAACCATCACATAAAAAAAAACAGCTATTTCATTCCAATCTCCGTTCAAACTATCAAAAGCCTCTCTCCGCTTGGAGATTTGCTACCAGTGCCAAACTTTTGTTAAAGGATCTCCCTATTTCTACCTTAAAATACATTAACTTAGAAACAAATCCCTGCTTATCTCTCCCTCGGCCTCTCTCTCTCTCACACACACACGTGGCGCTTAACAGAGCGTTTGAGACCTGCTCCTGAGGCTACCATAACCATCCACGAGGGATTAAGTGTGCGGTCCCAATCGACCCCACAGCCTGATCAGCCCCGATGAGGCTTACTTCTAAGTAGAAATGCACAAAATCCAGCCGGACCACTCCCGACCACTATCAAACGCTTTCACCAACGTCTATGGGGCCTCGTCGCGCCCATCCCTGCGCGTGTCACCGCCCCTGATCCTACGCGTCCCTTTCAACCGGGCAAGTCCCCACGAGCAGAATAGGGCCCACTTCCACGTACGCCTGCAAAGATCGGGCGCGTCCCCGCAGGTTGAGAGGTCTCAGAAGGAAGGGGGAAGATAAACCACCGAGACAAGCCACCGGCCTCCTGTTGCCGCGACCAGACGTGCTCCCGGTGGCGCGTTTAATTCCCCAAACACGTTCCCATTCATCCCCTCCTTTCCTTTGCCGCTTTGCGTGCGATCCAGACGCTCCCTCTAAAGCGATCCCTCTCTTTTTCCACATCCTGTCCCTTTGCAGCTCGCCCTGTTGCATTTCCCCCCCGCGCCCCGACTTAGGAGCCAGCTCACCTTGTTTGACGGAGGGATGCAGCTGGTGTGTGTGTTTGTGTGTGTGTTGGCGGCAGCTCTATCTGCCTTGCCGGAGGGAAGCCGGGCCGCGCTCCGAAGAAGCCTTTTGCGGCTCCTGGTGCTGCTGCTGTCGCCGCCGCCACCGCCGGGTCCCCTGCACGTGTTCGCGCCCAGCGCTGCGGCCCATCCGGTGACCCCCGGAGCACGTTTGCAGGCGAAAAAGTAATCCCCCTCCAAGGAGCGCTGGGGTGCACCTCCCTTAGGACTAAGACCGCGGGATCGAGGCGCCAGGCAGCCTTTCGGGGCTTCCGCTCTTGAGGATCTCGCCCCCCACCCTCTCCTTCAGGTCAAGTCCCGCAGCCGTCGCTTGACCTTGGGGTCAGGGAAAGGTCAGGTTAGCCGTCTTTACTCTCCCTCCCTCCACTTCCAAGACTCCCGAAGGAGGACACGCTCTCCCGTCCACCGGTTCCCGCCCTTTCCCATAAAAAGCATGCAACAGATGGGCGTCTCCCGCCCCGCCGCCGCCGCCGCCGCCGCCCCTCTCCCAGCTGGCCCGAGGGGAGAAGAGAGGCTTTGCCCATAAGGACAGCCGCGCCTCGGCTCCGCTCGGCTCCTCCCTGCGCGGCGGTTCTTTCCTCGGGGCCGCGAAAAGCAGGTGAAGCTGGGAATACAGTACAGTACTTCCCTGCCCCGTGAACACGGTGTGCATCTAGGCTCGCCAGACGGAAATCAAGGCGAACGCTCTCAAAGTTACGCTCTTAGGCACCTCATTTTTTTCCTTGGGGTTGGAATGTGCCATTAAGCCGCTGCGGGCGGCGTGGCGAGTTTAAGACAGTGCCAGATGTTGAAGAAGTGGGTCTACCCTTCCCTACCCTTCCCATCTTCTCAGATAGTACCCATGGGTGAGCAGGGATTTGAACCCAGAGCTCTTTGAGTCCTAATCTATCGCTCTGTTTGCTACCCTACGCTGGCTCACCATTTATGCATACCTTGGCTTTAATGGGAAAAAAGCAGTGAGGTGTAGTAGTAGTAGTAGTAGCATTAACAACAACAACAACTACTGCTACTACTACTGCTACTGCTACTGCTACTACTACTACTACTACTACTACTACTACTACTACTACTACTAC